ATACATACATACATACATACATACATACATACATACATACATACATAGAGATACAAAATATACAAAATAGGAAAAAATCTAAATAATTGAAATTTTACTGCATTAATATGATCATGGCTGGTTTCCATCTGTTGACAGATGTGTCTTTTTGAAGCCTCCGGCAATAATTTATTTTACTAAACAAGTTTAAAAAAGATATTCTATAGATATAAGCAAAGTGTTGGGAAAGTCAACTTACTGGTTTTATTCGACCACCGGGAAACTCCAGAGGGGTACAGCTACTAGCTTCAGCCTCTGACGGAGCAACAGATAAAGAGCATTAGCACCTCCGACTCCCCTTTTAGTGACACACTTCTGGAACTGATCCCTTGCCTGATAGCATTGATCCAGCCATGGGAACAGACTGCTGGCTGTCCTTCAGGCCAGCGGGGGAGGCAGCCCCAGTTCCCGGACTACCGCACGGGGCTGGGGGGACTGGGATGGGAGGTGAGGGGGTAAGTGCGCTTGGAGTTTGGATCAGCTGGACAGAAGAATGAGCAGAAATTCAGCCACGGTCTTTCATCCGGGACAGTTTCTCAATCCGATCTCACCTGTTCTTGCTCCGCCTCCACCTCTTCTTCGTTATGGAGCAGCTCCACCACCAAGGAGGGAAAGACCCCAATCTGTCCGTCCAGCTCTCCCTCCCAAAAGCCATCATCCACCTGGAAAACATGCTGAGGCTGACACCTCACGCAAACCTGACCTACCTGAACTACCATCCAACGTCCAGGAACCAAGACAACTTTTTATGTGGTAGAAGAGCTTAGTTCAGTTTCACTCCTAAGATGAGCTTTGCAGGTTGAACAAGCTAACACAGATCGATCAAACTATCAAACAAGCTGAATGATTTGATACAAAATAAATCTTTACACTGAGAAAAATCAAACTGAAATGGGTTTGGGAGCTACCCAGAGCCACATGGGGAAAAACCATCACAGCGTGAAACCTGTTCTTATTCCTGACTCTTCCCCATTATGTCTTTGAAAGGTAGAACCTGAAACAGATGTGCTGTCTGTGACATGGAGATGTTCTGTGTCTTGCTCAGACTTATTGGCTGGAAGACCGTTCACTGAAAACTTACAAGCTCACTTACAAACTCCATACCGGTCACAACGGTGAAATCGATTTGAAAGATTTAAAAAAAATGTAGAGACGTTAGAATACACACCTCCCCGTGTTGACAGCGAATCAGGTGGATTAGTGCCCCCTCCGGGAAGGACAGCTCCTCTGCACTTTGAGCTTGGTACGCGTACAGAGCTCTGGCCAAACCTTAAAAAACGAAGTGAATTGTAACCCCCCTCTTGTGGACGCTGTGATCATCCCATAAAAAACAGAAGCACTTTGCGTGTGCATGTGAATTAAACCTGATTTGTATATTTGCAGGTTACAGTTTAAAGCTTTCCTCATGTATTCACAAATATTCACATAAACTACGAAGTGGGGAGGGTCATCTTAAAGCGGGGGGTGGGTGCAGTCTGCAGAGAGAAGGGGTACACCTTTAAGGACAGTAATGTCCACATCCTGAACCGAGACACCTGGTTTGAGAGAGGAGGAAAGGCTGGGACCTCAGGGGTCGCCTTCCAGGATTGTCTCTCCTCTCAGGAGGTTTCACAGCCATCTACAGCTTGGACAGGCAGGTGAACTCTGGCTCTAATTGGTCAGGGATTCAGAGTGTTGTAAATGGGCGGCATAGGTGGTGTGGTGGTTCGCACCATCACCTTACAGCAAGAAGGTCCTGGTTTCAAGTCCCCGGGGGAACCAGGATCTTTCTGTTTGGAGTTTTAAAGTTCTCCCTGTGTCTGTGGCTTCTCTCTGGGTTCTCTGGCTACCTCCCAACGTCCAAAAACTTGGACGTTGGGTTGATTGGACATTCCAAATTGAGTGTGCATGGTTGTGTGTCTCTGTGTGTACTGTGATGGGCTGGAGGACTTCTCAAGGGTCTACCCCACCTCTCCTCCATTGACTACTGGGATAGGCTCCAGTCCCCCCCAAAACCCCATTAGGGAATATGTGGTTATGGTAATAGATTCCATTTTTCTTTACTTAAACCCTCACCAGTGCCTGGATGGCTGAGGATCTCCACCAGTGTACCATTCAGTGTTGATGGTTTACTCAGATTTGAACCACAGAACATTTGAACCATAGAACATGAGAACATTTTGGACGGCACTTACAGGAACCATCATGGACAGTACAGCAGCCTGCAGCCTCTGGTTTGGGTTCAGGCGGCCATTAGAGGTACCAGCAGCAGAGCGAGAGGTGAGAGAGTAACAGAAAACAGAGGAAAACACAGTCAACTTGTCCTCACCTTTTCTTATCATTTTATTCCATGTGAGTTCGCTCACAGCTTTGATTTTTTTTTTAAAAGGACCTTCAGACAAGATCTTTAAAATCAGAAACCTGGCCACGAAGACTGGGTCACTTTGAGGGGTTGTGTAAACTCCAGCTTGGTACCAAACTTTGCGAAAACCATTCTGAGATGGCCCCCTTCCTCCTCCAACATGAGTGTGTACCGGAGCACAAAGCCAGGACCATACAGACATGGATCAGAAGGTTTGCTGTGGATGGCCTTTGACTGGCTTGCACAGGGTCGTGATCTCAATCAAATAGAGCACTTTGAGCCAGAGACTGAGATCTAGGACTACACTCAGTGTACAACCTCACAAATGTCAACGTATTCCACACACATACACACATGCTGACCTCTGCTCACTGCCATCTCCTTGTTTCCTGTGGATGAGGAGGAGCTGAAGGAAGTGTCCAGCTGAGGGGTGTCCTCCCCCGGTAGGCACAGGTACTGCACATAGCGCTCCGGAACGTACCCCACCAGGCCACAGGAGTTACACACCTGAGGAGTGACATCAGCAGGCGCACACAAATGCACAAACTCAACACAAATACACCAATTGTTGTGCGTACATGATCTGTAACTGGCCATGTGCAGATCACACATTGAGTAACACTGTCAGAACGGGTTGACTCTGGATAGAGAAATGAGGGAATCCGACAAGATAAAAAGACCAATTACGTCACCTTCAGCCAGTCCTCTATCTCTCCGTCATCAATCACCTGCAGATCCTCCCCCTCCATGATTGACAGCTCATCTGCCTGTCTGGCCTACACAGGGGAAGACGCTAGAAATTAAGACAACTTCCGGAGGTAGTTTTAAACCAGCAGAACAAAAAACTACGGATTGCGTTGTGACTCGCCCTCTTCACGTTGACTCAAAGAAGACCTCAAGATTCAAATTACAGGACAACAGGGTTTAACAACAGGCGTGTTCTGCTTCTAACCTGATAGCTGTAGATGACTCTGCATGGCGCCGGGCAAATGCAAAGCCCAGAAGCTGACACCGGCTCTATGAAGATGTCTCCGTTCTCATCATAGTCGTCAAAGTCAGTCAGCTCAAACTCATCCTCCTGAAAAACACCCAATAAAAAAACAAGGGAAAAGACTGAACAATCTGGATCCGTCATGCACACTGCTGACATTCCCATGTCTCCCACCTCTGTAGACTTCCTTTGGCTTCTCAAGAATATGTTGCTAAGCAACAGTTGTTTGGGTGGAGGCTCGGACTATCAGATTAAGGATACATAACTCGTCTAACATTTACGTACAATGAATCCGAAATGTTAGTTTCATCAGTGTAAAATTCCAGGAGTGATGTTTCAATAAATGGTCCAGTCAGCTGTAACCACAGTCAGCTTCAAATGGGAGTCTCAGAATTAATTGCACAGATAAAGACATGTAGATGTTGGAAATGATTGGCCAAAAACCAACTGTCACCACACTTGGATTCATTTGGATTTTCTTGGATTTATCATGTCGTACTCACTTTCAAAATCATCTCCTTGAATTGTGCTGACATATGGAATTGAGAAAGCACCTGAAGGTATTTAACTCATACAGTAAAAACACAGTTTAAACAGTGTTTAAACTATATTTAAAACCGTATTTTCCCTTTTGTAACAGGCGATTCTTCCGCCCCCTAGTTTCCACTCAGTAGTGGGGTTAAATAGACTCCAGTTGGCTTTTTGAATGGCAGGGGAAGATGGGAAAGCATCATAATTAGGGTTAGTAATGGACTAATGGGGGAAAACCTTCATCTAGAGTTCAATAATTCACACATAAATTAAGAGTCAGCTATGCCAAACGTGAAAACCTGGCTCATTTTTGGGTTCTTGTAGCAGCCCACGGAGTGCATTTGTGTACCGAAAAGTCTTCTGTGGACTTCCTCTGTTGGCTAAGGTGCCTCTCTCTCTCCAGCTCCTCCTCCGCCTGCTTCATGGCCTGGTGGAGCCACTGCTCAGTTCCTGGTACGCTGTCCGACAGCACAGCCAGGCGAGCGTCAGCCTTCACTCTGCTGAGCTGAGGAACACAGACGCCGTTAGATGGACAGACAAGACATGAAGCCGTTCTAAATATGTGATTTCCTGAATCAAAATAGTGCTTGTTGAGCTGAAGTCATGCCCCGTCCTTCTCTGGCTGAGTATAAGTGGGGGTGTCTCCCAACCTAGAGACAGCCGACTCCAGGTGGAGATGATCAGATTATTAGTTGGGAGATGTTCACTCACTGAACAGCAGTGAGCAGTGTGAGGGAGGCTGGGTAAATACACTGCTGGAAAAGTTTGTTCCAAAGAGAAGGAGCCGGTGAGCCACACATTGTTTTTAAGTGTGGAGATATTGTAAATGAATTTATAAATGTATGATACATTCAGATTGAAATGTTAAAAATGTTAAAATGTCATAAAATGTTAAAAATTATTTATTTAAAATGTGTGTTTAAGAAAAAAAAAAACAGAATGTAAAAATGATCACTGATTAATACTTTAATTTTCAGTTGCTAAAATCTTATGGTAGATTTTGTTTCAGGGATAATTTTTTGTTATTTAAATTGTTTTTCGGTGTATTTATGTTTAAAGGTTTTTCATCTCTTGTCGATTCAAAATCTTTCAAAAAAGAAAAAAAAAGGAAAGAATCGATTTTTGGTTATTTTCAAGAGGGGGAAAAACCTACAGTTTGAATCCCAAACAAAAAAGTGGGAACCACTTGACAATGTTTGATTCACATTTAATTCCACTCAACACTTAAAATGACTGAAAATTGTATTCAAACAATATTCCAAATACACAAGTAGAGCAACATGAAATCCTTCATGTGGCCACTTCTGAGATTAAATCAAGATAATCTCTTGAACAATTTGGCACCACAACTGCAATCCTAATAATCCTATTTGGGATTGGGAATGTCAAATGAATAGATCAGTTTTTATACTTCCGTATGCTTGTCAATTCTTTTGAATCCTTCCTAAAATGACTCTGATGCCCAACCAGCAGAGATCCTACTTGTAACTACTCGTAGCACCTTGGCTTTTCTGACACTCTCTTGAACTTCGGCTATCTTTTGCTCCACGCTGAGCCCCGTCTCCCCTGACAGGAGCTTCAGTCGACTCTCCAGCATCTGTAGAGCCTGAGACGGAGACAGAAAAAAGGACGGACCATACAGTCACGGGATCGCATTTACAAATAGAACCAAAACAAACATGGTCAGAACCCATGTTTGTGGGTAATAAACAGACAGCTGGGCCTTCTGAGACGTTTGTGGGGAAAAGGCGTGGGCGGGAACATGGCAGCCGAGTCTCACCCTCTCCCCGTGGGCCACTATTTTGTAGTCCTTGGCAGCTCTGGTCGCCCATTTCTGGGCCTCCTTCAACAAGCAAGCGTCTCCCTCTGATGCAGATATATCCTGCAGAGCAGACACCTGCAGGCAAGGCAAAGACAAATCCTTTCTTTGTGAGATTCGCTAATAACAAATAGTTCTGTTACAAATCTGAATGCAGAATAAACTTTACATGGAATGACTGAAAATGATACATTTACACAGTACTGGGGATTCTCCATATTTGGGTGTTTACGTGGTGAGTCTCTGTTTTAGTCCCTTACCTCACTAATGACTCAAGTGGGGTTTTATGTTTGAGATGATATATTTGAGTCTCCAGTGAATGATGAACCTCCATTTTTATCAGAATATTTTTGCCATTGTTTAGATATAAAGAATGGCGTAAATTTAGAGAATGATCTTTCCAGCAGATCCTAAGAGGAGATGCCCCTGTCCACAGACTCTGCTTCCTTAGTGAGATGTGCTGACAGAATTAACCAGATCTTCAAAGTACACCTTCCCAAAAATATCCTCCCAGGCCTTAATACGCTGTTTGAAATTGGAAATTGCGAACTGTATTTTTTAAATGAACTACATCGCATTTACATAACCAAAACACAAATGTCAACTGATAGCTTTCGATGCCGTATAGATAACAATATAAAATAAAAAGATGGCCCATGTGGAAAGATGACGTGTAGCAGAAAATTTGTCGGCAACAATTCAAGCCTACCAGTAACACAACAACAGCCCAGTTGTGTGTCACTCCCCCTAAAGACAGGAACACACACCGACACAAACACACTGACACAAACACACTGACACAGACACACTTACACAAACACACCGACACAAACACACTGACACAAACACACTGACACAAACACACTGTCACAAACACACTGTCACAAACACACTGACACAAACACACTGTCACAAACACACTGTCACAAACACACTGTCACAAACACACTGACACAAACACACTGTCACAAACACACTGTCACAAACACACTGACACAGAGACACTTACACAAACACACCGACACAAACACACTGACACAGACATACTGACACAAACACACTGACACAAACACACTGACACAATCACACTGACACAGACATACTGTCACAAACACACTGACACAGACATACTGACACAAACACACTGACCTTGTCTCGGGGAGCGGGCTGAAAGCTGAAATCTGGTGATTTAATGAAGCAAACTGATTCTTGCAGAAATTGTTGAACATTTCTGTCCCTGGTTACCTGACAAAAATGAAATAAGAAGAGAAGAAATGTTCAAATGTTATGACTGTAGAATTGTGGCTCAGCTCCACAGATTCCATCACAACCGCTTGAAATGGCGTCCGCTTTGCTTTAACAACTGCCGGCTGAGGCTTGGCCTGAGAAGGCTTTCCTGTGCACACAAATACCTCGAACAACCGAAAGTCTTCTTCCATTATTGCACTCCACTGTTAACCTGGAGATCTTGAGCATGTGTTGAATTTCTATGTTGATTTCAGTTCGTTCTAAAAACTTATTCTCAGACTATTTCTTCTGTTTTTTTAATCTGGAGTTGGAAAAATCAGTCCTGTCTGGTTTTCTTCTGTAATTTCACACGCGGCTGTTTATTTAACCAAGTTGTACAACCTAGATGTTTTAGGCTCTCTTTATCCCCTTTGCTTCCCTTGTAGAAGCAGTTAGAAAATGTCTAATGACTGGGAATCACATAGTGTTCCTTGCCTGGCCCTTGGATTGGGATCCATCAGCCCACCGCCTGCAAATCGTGATGTGGTTTTAAATTATGAGCTCTCATGGACCCTGAAGCCCTTTCCTTATTTATCTGTTATTTTACATACTAATCTATGTGGCTTTTTCACATTTTAATCTGGTTTTTATTGGTCTTATTGTCCAACATCTTCAACATCTTCCCGCTGGCAGCGGGATGGGGGCCATATTGAATGTGTGTGTGTGTTTGAGGAAGTTACGATTGGGTATGCTCTTAAATGTGTGAAGACTGCTTTTAAATGTGTTTTTCTGTAAAGCATCTTGTGTTACTTTTTGTATGATTGGTGTTTTATGAATAAATACATTTAATTAAATTTTATTAGAAGTTGCCAACAACTGCCTTATCGTGGGGGTGTCAAGGCCTGTGCTTTATTTGTCCCTCTCCGTTTTCTGTAGGACTCCAACTTCCCCTGAAAGATCATAGATCCTGAAAGCAGCTACAAAATTACAGTTGCTTGGATTCTATGATTATTGGATGTTTCTATCGCTTGATTTTTTTTGTAATAAAGATCGGAACTGACCTTTGCAACATTGTCCCATAATCTGCCGTACTGTTTATGTAAGGCCTGACAGATATCCATCTCTGTCCCACACAGCAGGGTGAAGTGGTGTCTCAGATCTTTGTAAATATCACCATCCATCTGCTGAGAACGGAAATAGAAAAAAAAGGAAATGCTTTTAAAATGTCAGATGTTTTTAACCCCGTCTTACGTCCATTTTGCACGACCCAATCTGAACACCGTTTCCATAGAGGATAAAGCGTCTCAACACAGCTCATGCGCTGAAGATCTGAATATGCATTTCTTAGATGTTCCTCCTCCTCTGCCTTTGCTGCTTTAAGCTCCCTTTTCTTTTTTCCTTTTCTGCCCTTTTACATAGATGAAACAGGTTTCAAAAAGGGAAAATGAGTCCTCCACCAATGCAAGCAGGCTGATGAACCTCACAAACTATTCTATCATTCCCGTTATTATTGTGTCTTAATTATTTGTTTTCAAAAATTTTTATCCAATCTAATAATTCTTTGAAAAAGTATTTTTAAATCCAAAAGGTTTTCAGTTGTTCCGTATGGGACCAATAACACCAGAGTAATACTTTACCTTATGCGTAATACTGGGAAAAAATCATGTGGCTGGTTTTTAATGTGTACAACTCAGGAGAATCTTTAACTAACTCTCTAGTGCCGCCGTTTTAGTTTGATGTGTGCATGTATCACCTGCATTATAAGCGGTAAGTCATTGGTGTTGTAATGCTCATGATGGGCGTTGATAGCTGCCAATGTCAGCAAATACTCATTGCGAACTTCTGTCAAACGGTCATCACACTCCGTCAGCCTGGCACTGAGCTGCAAACACAGAGAGTTTCACTTCCGCTGAGACAAGCATCATAGATTATACTACATATATTAGACCTTGGAAAATGAACATTATGCTTAGTTGTGAGTAAAATTGTATATTCAGATTGATTAAATCCAGTTAAACAGAAAACTATACCATGGAGTATGGATATTTATTAAAGAAAAATCTATCTAAAGAGAATTCAGCAAAAAAAATACCATTTCACATAGATATCCATCTGGGAGTAACTCCTGGGAACATGGGGCAACCTAGTATCTGTAGTCAAAACAGATCTTTGAAGTATTCTTTCTTTCCCAATGGGAGTGTGCAGTTAACTGTCTTTAGGTGGTAACATAGCTGCTTAAACTTCAAATATGAGCTAAGGTTAAAGTCTGTTTAAAAGTTGGCTTTGAATATTGTGGATCCTTAAGTGTGCAGCTCCCTCCTTGTCTTCGTGGTTATGTTACTGCTCCAGCTTTCCATTGGAAAAGGGGAGTCATAAAGAAAGGACATGGATTCAGGTTTTTTTAAACAGTCTGGAAGATGCTAATCCACATAGCATAGAAGTAAAGAAAAGGCTTTTAAAAGCTGATGGGAACTCCAAAGCTAAAACAGCTCTGCCTCCCCTGGAAATGCCCCATCATTCCATATGTTGTAAGGGTACCAACATAATCCTGATTTTACGAAAGAAAAAGAAAAAAAAAACATTTCATTTAGCTGAAAAGTAAGTTTAGACAAAGCATTCAAAAAGCCCTTGGACTCCATACCTTAGCGGTGACTTTTTGTGCTCCTGTTTTGAAGTGAAAAATTCCATGTTCCATCTTTCTGGCTCTGGAACACATAGAAACAGTTTTCTACAGTTTTCTGTATCTCTGATGTGGCTTGTCGCATAAAAGTATACAACCATACAAGAAAATCACGTACGGGAAGGACCCTCTTTTATTCATCTAAAATTAGCCACATAAAGAATAGTTTAACTGATGTTGCACGAGTACCTGTCGTTAGAGCATTTCCAGAACTTGCAAGAGCTTTTTACACAACATGATGGCAGAACCATCTGAAAAGATCTCAAGTAGAAAGGACAAGCCAAAAAATCTCTTAAACTGTCCTGGAGTGACCAGGATAGAAGAGAAATAGAAAAAGAATTGTCATTTGGACACACTCTAATACCCTGGAGCCAAGTTCCTCTGCTCCTCGTGTTTCAGATCTAATAAGAACCCAGCTGTCTGTCCAGGGAAACCAAAGCATGCTCCTTCTACTGGTATGCTGACCCCAGCCTGTCAGGATTAGATAAGGGAAGGTACCACAGTTCATGCACCTCTATGTTTTTCCAAAGTAGCAAAAGGCTGCTTTTTCTAATTACAATTGGCATGTTGATTTACGCTGAGGATGAGACCTCATTGCAACATCCATCCATCCATTATTGTTACCGCTAATCATTGCCATTACCTAACGGAGTCGCGGGGAGAACTGGAGCCTAACCCAGTGGTCAACGGGCGAGAGGCGGGGTACACCCTGGACGGTCCGCCAGTCCATTGCAGGGCCACACACAAGGCATACATACAATAAAATTTATTTGAATTGAATACCAAGGACAAACAACCACGCAGACTCACTCCTAAGGGCAATTTGGAATGTCCTATAAACCTAACATGCAGGTTGGGAGGAAGCCGGAGAGAACCCACGCAGACTCAGGGACAACATGCAAACTCCACACAGAAAGGTCCTGGTTTCCCCGGGATTCGAACCCAGCACCTTCTTGCTATGACGTGTGCTAATCACCACACCACCGTCCCGCCCCCCATTGCAACATGACTGAGCAATTCTCCATGGAAAGGAAACACTGGCTGTAGAGGTGGGAGCCTTGGCTGATTTCTGGGCTGCTGTAAGCTAATGTTTATGAGCGACTTACAAAGTAGAATATACACATGTAGAAAGGACATTGGGGAATCGAACCCCGGTTTCCCGAGTGATAGGCGGGACACTCACCACTATACTAACCCCCACCCCAATGAAGAAAGAATACTCAGTAAAAAAAATGGACCTGACTCAGATAATGAATCCAAAAATTGATCAAGTACCCATTTGAGGAGCCTTCAGAGAAGAAGATGCGTGCACACCAACCTGGTCTGAGCTTCAGCAGCCTTCTCTCTGGCTGCCATAGCGATGTGACACAGCTGGTAGTATCTTTTCTTGATCTTGTGTAGTTCCCGCAGGGCTTCCACCACTTCGCCCTGTACCCTCTGGAGTTGTTCCAGGCCCTGATGCAGACACTCCAGTATCACTAACGAGGCCACGTGGCGCTGTATTTACCAGCCTGCTGGACAAAGCTCCGGGGTTAAAGCTACTTGGTGTTTGCTTTTTGCAGCTTACTCTCTTGGTCCGGACGTCCTTTGCATTGTGAAGACTTTTGGAGGCTTGACCAATCAGTTTGCGATATTCTTCAGCGGCATCAAGGCGTGAGGCAGCACTTTGAGCGGTGGCATCCACCACAGACCGCCAGACGCCGAACACACCCCTGAGAACACACACCACAACCAACACTCAGTCGATTACTGCACTCCACATGTAAACCTTGTTTTAATGGAATAGAATCTGCTCATCTTCTGTGAAGGATGACTGAATTCTACTTAGTGAATTGTGTCTGTAGAACTCATTTTTGACTTCATCATATCTAATGTGACTGTTATGCTAAGCTAACATTAAAACTGTTTTAGTTGAATTTATGAACGCACAACTCAGACTTCTGGAGAGATTAAGTAAGAGAAATGTAATTGCAAAGATTATGCTAGGTAAGATTTTGAAAACATATACAAGGAATTGAGTAATTTATCAGAAATCAGACACAGAATTTAAATCTATTAAATGAAGCTAGCCTGGTTTAAGGTCATTCATAGTTTTTAAAAGCTTTTGTTGTATTTTTTTCTGTTGTTTCATATTGCAAACAATGTATCTTTCTGATAATGGCCCTATGACTGAATGTGGCAGTTTCTGTGCAGCAGGTTACATTATCAGTTCTAACTGGACTAACGAGATTTACTCCACAAACAAACTTTTGGCTCTCGGCACACAGGCTTGATGTGCATTGTTTGGTTGGTTTAAGTTTTCAAGCTTAGTCAAAAATGGCTATGGAGACTCAGGGGATGGTTTACGGTGAGGTGTGTGAGTTTGTGTGCTTTTACCCAGAAGTGAAAGCATCTGAATTTCCTCTTTGCCAGTCTCTCTTTTGGAATTGGATGGCTAACCTCTGAAGAGCCTAAAAAAAGTCCCACATTAAAACTCCATGTATGTATTAAAGGGTAAAAGTTTTAAATAGATAACTTACCAAATAGTTCTGCAATGAGAGCGTTTAAGGTTATTCAAAACAACTTACATTAAGCTCCAATTACATCATTTTTACTTATTCCTATCACACACAGTGTGATTTGTGAACACTGAGCTGACCCTGAGTGGACCCAGGGTGGATCTGGTGACTAGCAGCACAAACTTAACTCACTTTCTGTGGTAGTATTTTTAGATTGTTAAGTTATCAGAAAGCACACGAATGGAAGGAACCATCTGTCCTCATGGGTGTTTGTTATTTTAGAGACCTTATTACATTTTCATTCGGTTTTGACGAGATGGACCGAGGCTGTCTTTAGTTGTGTAAAATACAGCCAGTGTATTCATACATTAAACACACATCCCATTCATCAGATGTTTACATACACCTATGTGAAAAATTCTGCACCAGTCTGCCAAAACACATAAAGCTCTGTTTCTCTTCCTGAAAATGTCAGAACATAGCAAAGAAGGGGGCCTTACTTGGGTTTTCAGTTTGGTAGTTGTATGATATGATATAATCAATTTAATGAAGAACTAGATTTTGTTCCTCAGATTCTATTGATAGCGCACTGAAAATGACAATATTTATACAATGTAATATGTATATATATATATATATATCTTTTATAAATATATATTCTATGTTCACATCATATATGTGTATGTATATGTGTATACTGTACTTATGAGGATTTCCTACACAAATATTTGTTCTTGCATACAGAAACATTGCAGACAAAGAATTTGTCATTAGACAAAAGGGTTCATCTTTACAGAGAATCTTTCAAATGAAATGGTATGTAGAAAGTTCAAATATGATAAAAAAAAGTCGTGCCAAAAAAGATGATAAGACTGGTCCTGATCCAAGTTGTGAAAGATGTGCCAACAAAATATTAAGAGTATCTGTCAGCTCTATTCTGGTTGACAAGAAAATGGTTCCCAGAGGCTAAAATCCTGAGCTCATGTGAGGTTATGCAGTGGAAATATGTCATATAAGTGGACACCACCGAGAGGTTCTAACACGTTTTGCCTCTAATCAGTTTACCACCTTACTTTTTCTGTCATTTTCCATGTATCCAAATTACATTACATTAAACATCATTACACAGCACTCAGGTACTAATATAGGACACCAGATCAATGAGTTATGGACATTTCCAGCAAACAATAAAGGCCAGTTACGGAGTATAAAGAGTGAAATCGATCACCTCTGCTTACCTGGCCATACTCCTTCTCTATGGCTGCTCTTTGCTTACTGAAGGACCTTGGGGGAGCAGAAAGCAAACGTCATCTCATATAGTTTAACCCCTACTTTATACTATATTTCTTATTGCCAATTGTCAGTGAGGATTCTTTTGCTGGCGTTCAGGATGGTAGAGCAGAGCGTGCTGTCCCTCACCTGATCTCCTCCAGTAGTTCGGTGGTCTGGTGTTGTTTGGCCTGCAGTTTGCTGAGCTGCTCAGCAAACACCAGTTTCACCTGGTGGCTCTCCTTTACCTGCAATCAGACAAACTGCTTTAATAAATGTCAGCTAATCTCTCGCGGAGGTACTGCATTGGGGTTGCAAAAGTTTTGGTTGATTAGACTTTTTTTTTTTTATATTCCCCCCCTGCAATTTTTTTCACTAACTGAAATGTCTTTAAATCCACATGAACATGAATGCAACACACTGTAGTAAACAGATAAATTGAGGCAAAAGACACACAGGAGCTCTTTCAAGCTGGACCCAGTTAAATTTACAACACCTGTCCCACCAACCAGGAACCAGAACCAGATATTTAAGACAAAAACAAGAACATATGAACTTGTGTTTTATTTGAGTATCTTAGTATTAAATGCCCAATAACAAGGTACATTTACACATGGCACTATGAGACCAGTTTTATATAACACAATTTCATAGAATATATATATAATTTGGGGGTCCTCGCTCCATCTCGCCATCAGTTTAGGGGTCCTTGGCCTGGAAAACGTTGACGACCCCTTGTTTAGGGGATAGAAAGTACAAGAGGCTGCACAGCAATAACTGTTGAATGTGGCACATTTTATCACCTGCTCCTGGAAGCTAATAAACACTTCTAACCACGTGGGAACCGGCTACCTCGTGCCTATACTGACAAAAGGAACCGTTATGTTTGCATAGCATCGCTTTGTGAGGCATATTAGCTGTGTTGTTTTCAAGCCATCACGTGTAAAAAAAAAAAAAATCCGATCAAATATCAGGGTTGCTGAAAGACTGAGAAGGAAAGAAAGATGAACACCCTTCTTATGTCTAAGGTATGACTCCCTCAGAATGAGCTGCATTTTGTTAGCTGTCTCATGTCAGATACAATATAGCTTTTTCTATAGATTTACACATTGAAAAAAAAGATTATAAGAATTTAATTAACTGGCTTCAACAAAAGGTTAATACTGGGAAACATTAATGCAGGATATCAATTTTCATAAATATTTCATATATTTAGACTACAAAGAATCTACATTAATTCTAGGTGTCCCGCATTATTAGTAGTTTTAGATCAAGCTTTGGCTGCGGTTTTTATCTTTTGAAAATGAAGTTATCCTGACATCTCAACAAAGGCAAAGCAAAGAGGCTGTCGAACCAGAAAAAGTTGTGGCATCTTTCTTTTCATCTTTTTCATGGTTTTATCTGAATGAATTTTAAAATGCTTTGAGCTCAACAGCGCAAATAACATGAATCAAGAACTTCTTTTTAGCTGGTGTAAAATACATAGGGGATTTTAGATATAAGCATTGCAGCTTTATGAAGGAAAAGGGCTATACGAGTTGACCAGACTCTGTCCCGAAACAATGAACACCATCTTTATTTGTAGTATTAGACAGGTTTGGAAGTATTTGGCTGTTTAATCAACTTTTAATAGTTTTTTCAAACTCAGCGTAAATCCCAAATCTTAAAGCTCATACTTTATGTTAAAGCCTTTAAAAAAATTCCACCTGTGCCTCTGGATTTGAATGCAACAACCAGATAAAAAAACAAACAACCATCCTAATGTCAATCACTTTAATTTCCTACTATTCTATTTGCAGCTGAATAAAAAATATGGCTGATGACTTCTGTTGCAGAAAAGCTGACGTAACGTCTAAATTGGAAGTTAATTAAGTGAGGAGGCGTTAGACTGTGGCTAAGGATTCAAATTGCCCTAAGCGCAGACAGTTGTTCCTACATGTCGCTTACCTTTCTGGGTGGCGGTTGCATTCTCAGATGCTTTCGGTGTATGCTCTCTCCGTAATTGTGTAAGTTGGTTTCAGTTGATAGCAACTTCCTCAGAGGTTTCACCCATGCACGTGTGCAGCCTTCTCTCTCTCTGCTTGTCTCTTTTTTCCTGTCTCATTCTCTCTGTGTCAGTTATGTTTCCTGGAAATAACCCTGAAGAGGGCAGCAGAGTACCAGCGTTGGATAAAGTACAATTTAGTTTTAGTGGCGTAAAGGCAGGCAAACATCAGGGCTGCTCCACCCCCATATGAGCATCATAAACATGGGTCCTGAGATGGATTCTTAATTTAGATTTATTGTCATGGTATTGTCTGTCACAAACCATGATCTACAGGCAGGAGGTTGACAGGCCAAGAAAGCAAACTTCTGGAGAAGGAAAACGACAGCAGCAGCAAACAGCAAAGCTCTAGCAGGAGGTTTGGAGTATGAAAATGTGGATCTTCCACTGGTAGAGCTGGTGACGTCATGCAAAAGCAACCGAGCAAAAACCTCGGAAAAAACTACGATTCATTTTCAAAAGACAAAAAGCGCAGCCAAAGCTTGATCCAAAAATCCAAACAATGCTGGACAACCAGAATTAATGAAGGTTAACTGAGCTCAGTGCTAATCAGAATAAAATGGATCTGAGGGAAGTGAAGCTCGCTGAGAGGCACAAGGGGAAGCCACAGGAAACTGAGAAGAAAGCTTAAATGAGAACACAGGGTACAGGGAAAAACTGAAACTTTGTACAACTCCACAAAGCAAAGCCCATACCCCCAAAAGAAAACCAGCTCATGACATCATTCTGAGAGCTTTGGAGCATCCACAGAGCAACTAGGCACATTTAATCTCTCCAGGAGGAGGGATTTGAGCCCCCGCCTGAATAATCTGGGAGTGTGTCAGACCGGGTGTGAGAAGGTTGGATCATCCTTGGACTCCCCACCACCGGCTACGGTGAACAACACCCATGCTTTTCAGGGAATAGAATCAAGTCTCGCATCTGCTACAACGAGCAACCATAGAGAGGCAGAGCTGTTTGCAAACTTCCAAGTGACACCCCAAGATCCTGACGGCTCATGAAGGGGAGAAACATTGTGTGGAACGATGCTCCGCTGGAGGCTAGTCACGGCTTTCTCCGCACGTTTAGTTTCTCTGCTGGGAAAACTGTGAAAGAATCTATTCCAACTGATTTAGACGCAGTGCGGCTGGAAGGACTTCTACTGGTAAGTCTGGAACATCTTCTTCTGATGCATTACCATGATGTTTGTTTGAGTGAAAGCAGCCAGTTCAGTTAACGGAAAGTCAATGCCCGGAACCAGACCCCCAATCCATGAGACAGAGCAGGAAAAAAACAAAAGGAGGAAGAACTTTAGGAAGTTTCTTCCCTTAGATATCAAGGTACATGTGTACATGTAGATCTTCCTGGGCAGATGTATAGGTCAGAGGTTGGATGGGGATGGACACCTCCCTTGCACATCCTTTGTACATGTTCCTTCTCAGTGGGGTTTTAGTAGCATTCAGACACTGTAAGATTCTTCTGTCTTCTTCTGAAAAGCCTGGGTTCAAAGGTATGTCCCTGTCTACCAATTCCTGTTATGGACTTTATTAACTCAGGTGGTCTGGGCCAGATTTGTTGGATTTCTTCTTCTCCCATTTTAAAAAATCAAATAAATAACAAATGAACAAAGAGGTAAATGTCTATTGTATGTCACCAGTAGCACGCTAGGCGATACCCGAAAAGGACCTGAGAACCAATCCGGACCTAGGGAGCCTAAAGAAAACACAGCTTTTCTTTTAACACTGGAGCTGTGGGAGGCCAAGTGGTGGCCGGGAGATACTGGGAGGAGAAGACGATGGCAAGTGGTGAGCGGAGAAAGTGAATTAGTCCATGTGGCTGTTCTGGATTGGTATTCCGGGGTTCCAGGATGCAGGGGGGAGTTTTTTTTACTTTGGTGCTTCGACTCAGAGTCAGCACTTGGGAGGAAGGCAGCAGCAGGAGAGTTTTGCTGGATGGTTTGAACAGGAATCCACACAGGCTGTTAAAAGTTAAACTTGGAATGTAGAACAAGGGACGAGACCGAAGAAACCCCAGACAAAGGTAAGTCTCTCAGGAGGTCAAAGCGTACGAGCTCAGGAATGTCTAGGTTTTGCTGCGGTGTTTTGCGGGTGACATTTCTACTCAGTGTTCGGTTGGCTCTGCGGTTTTTGTTTTGGTCACATCAGTGATGGAAGAGGGACAGAGAACAACGTGATGTGGGAACAAGTTCAAATTTCCAAGTTCAAGTTCAGTTTTCCGCGGATTTCAGGAACATCTGGGTTACGTCAAACACGTCTTCAGCTCATAAGAGATTCCATTAAAACGATATATTATACATATCATGTTGTGGTTGCGCAATACAGATACCTGTGAGATTATCTGGACACCAGACTGGACGGGAAACACAACTGTGAATCTGTTTACGAGATAACTAACAAAGGGTTGCTCTTTCTGTTGATGGGATATGGCACCCCTCCAAACCCTTCATAGATTTTTTTGTTAAAACGAGTGTGGTGAGTGTGAGGGTTTTCAGCTCTGTTCACAGAGAGAGCTTAAGGCATCCTGAATAGACTAAGTAATCAGACATTTTCAATTGAAAAGCAATAATTTATTTATTTATAACAATAAAGATAGTATGTAAAGGTACAGAATTGCGAGAACAAGTGAATGGTTGTTTGATTACTGCTCATGAGAGCAAACTACAAAGTTATTCATGGACACAAATACAAAAAAACAACAAAGAACAGGTTCATCAGTACATTGATAAATTAATTATAAATAAAACATTTAGAATAATAAATTATGTGTCATGTTCAGTATCAAAAGTTTAAATTTAGACTCTCTGCCATACTGACATAGTGTTTGGTTTAAACTTTACGTTTGGGATTCATTGTTTCCTGATGCTTTCGTCAATAACTAATACGATTTTCATTAAAAAGCTCAATTAAATTGTAACTTAAGTTAAATAGTTCAACTGAAAGAGGCTTTGCCCCTTATGTAGGGAAACAGAGTCCAGTGTGGATGAGAATAAGCTGGAGCAGACGCCTGAGCCGGACCCGGAGAGAACCTCTGGATCCTCTGGTGGAAGTTGGATTACTGCCAAAAGAATAAGGGTAAAATGAAGAAAAGCAAAGTTTTTGAATGAAAAGAGTACAGAGGGACTGAGAGCAATTTAAAACGAGCCAAGAAGAGACAGGAACAGGAGGCAATGAGGACCATTTTCCTTCTATTCTGTGCTTTTCCCTTTTTTCTAACTTACTGACAGCCTTTACATGAACTGAATCCATGAATATTGGTGACTGTCACTTCTTATCCCAGTTAACGCTAAACTGCTACAGTATTTTAGCAGGTGTCCAAACTATACGCACACCATGCGAGTCTTAAAACTTTAGTTATTTTACGAGCAAAAGGCCATGCGGCACTCAGATTTCACGGTGAAGTTGTGCAAAGGTTCTTGTGTGAGAAGGGGGTTCGCTTTTCTCCTCACCTTATTGTCTTTTTTCCATGAACATCTGTGTCTGCCTCCGCAGTTTCTCGTAGAAATCTCCTGGTGAAATGGTCGCCTGACAAATCATTTCCTGCGAACAAAACGTACCATTCCGCGCCTAAAAAGATGAAAGGACATTCAAGTTACTATTCAGTAACTTTCGGTCAACAACAACTCAAAAGTATTTCAGTTAGACACTCCAGGCTTGCAGTGATAAGCACGATAGGACCAAAAGCCACTTTGCATACTTTGATACATTTTAATTTTCTGACTATTTCATCACTTAAAAGGTCGCAATCCCAAATATTTTCCACAGCAGCTTCTGTCTGTTTTAATTTCGAATTCAGCTTAAGCATACGCTCTTTTTTTAAATGTGGTATCACTTTGCTGAAACATATCTACACATATTGTTAATCTTTCAATATCAGATGAGCTAAGTAAGTAACTGAGTCAGTGATTTTGAGCTGTGAAAGCAGATGCTATCGCTCTAATAACGGAGCAGATGTTTAGCTGTGAAATGCAGTAGTTTCCTGGCTTTCATTTGCAGGATTTGCAGAATGTTTTATCACTTCAGGCGTTCCACTCTTTGCAGAACATCTGAAAGAACTGATGTAGAGTAAAATAAAAAAAAACTACCTGAATGAAACCATTTCTGATTACGAATGCTAACAAAATCTTTCGAAGAACTTTCATTCCGTGTTTTCATCAGTTCAACACAGATTAGTCAGAATCCCTTACCTTTATAGTTTCCACCCTTTTGATCAAGTTGTAAATGAAGTCATCCTTGTCAATGGAGTGCAGTTTTTCAAGGCCATCAATGAAGTAATCACAGGAACAGTTCTTCAGGAGAGAGGAACACATGATTACTAACTGGTTCCCTTCCAAAATGTACACACACCTTGTTCACCACCTTTTGGTGGCCACTATGAGCTTGTGCTAATTCGTACTGTGTGTCCATCTCCAGCCTGAAGTGTTTGATCACACTGTGATCGGCAGAAGTTGGCTGTCCATTAAAACGTTTAGCAGTAATCGATCCAGATCTGTGGTCTGTGCTTTTGAGCTCTAGAATTATTGTCAGTTGGTTAACCTTTTTTATTGGTTGGTTAAAGACTACAATTTGTGATCCTTAGTAGACATCAAGTGAGCGAAAAATATTGTGTTTACTGGACTTTAGGAGCAGTGCAAACAGTGTGGAAGCACCCTCATTTTTCCCAGTATGTCTTAAAGCATTTACAAATGCAAAAATGAGAATTCAGAAGCTATTGAAAGACCACAGGTTGAATACTCTTCATGTTTTGGGATTTTGTTATTCCAAGCTTGTTCTTTGCCAGCTGTTCTGCACTAAATGTTTTCATGTGCATGGTGAAAAAACACTTTCACAGAATAGATTTAAAGGAGTTTTCATTAACCTCCTGAGGGAAGATACCATTGTTTTTTTATATCTTATGTCATTCATGTGCCAATAAAAATTGCATCACTCACCCCCTGTGGAACTTTGAGGTTG